ACATCTGGGGTTGAGCGAAAATACCCAAAGACACAAACAAAGTCATAAAAATTCTTTGTCCATTGTCCCTAAAACGGGACAAGGTTTTGAAGAATTCCTTCGTCGAATTTTGATTTTATAAAGACGTTTTTATTTATAAAGTGATGACGGTTACCAAAAAAATTCGAGAGTGATTCATATTCAGTTTTATTAAATTTATCCTTATCCGTATTTACTATACAATACATCAGATGTTTGGGGTGTGCATTCGGACTTTCCCTTTTTTCGGTATTTATGTTTATTGCACTTCACAGAGAAGCATTCCAATATTGCCAGTTGGTTCTCAACCACCGAAACTTTCTCGTGTATCCGTTACTCACTTCAATTTTAACGCAGTTTTGTGCGAATTTATCCAATTCAGTGTGGGTTGTACTTATTTATAGTAGGTAAGTTAATATCTAATAAAGTAATCATTTTAATTTTTACGTGTTTCTGTTATTTTTGATAACTGTACGTAGATAACAAAAGCAGTTTTTTCAGATAAGCTGGAGAGACCACCATTAATCACTGAAGATACTCCCACTGATTATAAAGAACTTACGATGATTGTTTTTGAAAATGAGGCGCTATAAAATATTGCAAAGGTATGTTACTGCAATTTTTTGCGAACTAATGCTAATGAACATAATTTTATTTTAGATTTGAAACAAATACAAAACACGTGCGAAACGAAAGAAATGCTAAAGGAAACGAGTGAAAAAATCTCCAACATGGAAACGTCATCAAATCTGACAACTGAAAAAGAAAACAAAAACAGAAATTATGCCGCCAAAACCACACCTAAACAAATTTTGACGAATTACAAGATCATGTTTGCATATTAGAACAAGCAGATTTCTGTGTAAGTTAAAAAAATTCAATGAATTCAGACATACATATATAACATTAATATTGGATATTATATATAGGTAGATGCCTGTCATACTACGATACTTTTTGGTAACTTACTATTTACACATACACATTTCGCTTCATTGTAAAAAGTATTGACAACGAGATTTTCCTGATAGGCTGTACGTTTTTGTCAATGCAACCATTTTACGATTATCCGTTAGATTCAAGTAAATTTAGCATTTTTAAAATACAGAATTTGTCTTCTGCTTTAAGCTGTAATCCCTTAAATTTAATACTAGTCAAATGCTTGCTATTGCCCATAGATGAAAAAATGATTGCATTTCCATTAATCCATGCACTCTAACGGGTTTTTCTTTTCAGTGCAATAAATTGAGACAAACTTAAAAAACTTAGGTTAGAGATATGATTGTTAAAACAGAATTAATTCTTAACGGTACTTTTTTGTGTGTTGGGGACAGTCAAGTCGTCGTGAATTAGATAGTTTTGCATATACTGTGGTTTTACAGTGCATTTTCAATCAAGTAACTTCAACAATGCGATTCAATTGACCCTTTTCCTGTAAGCAAAGTGAGTAGACATTATATAAATTCCAATGATACAGAGTGAGATAACATCGCGCAGGCGAAGTCAGATTTTTGGAGCGCCAAGTTAAAATTAACCAATGAGCGACAGATTACGCATGTGTAGCTGGTTGCATTCTGTCAAAGCGGTTTGTTGTCACAGACCTTTGCTCTGCTGCCGGAGTGCCGGATACGTAGTTTTGAAGATGCGTGCGCACGGAAAGTCACTATGGAAGTTTTACGATCTTACAGGAAAAGGGTCAATTGTCTTTTGCCTTTATTCTATAGTTTTTTTTAATATTTTTTGTAAATAGATTTGTTTGTGTTTTTAAGACTGATCTATAGTTTATTATAGTTTTTTTTTTTAATATTCTTTGTAACTAAATAGATTTCTTTGTGTTTTTAAAACTGATTTTTCTTTAAATACCAAATTTTATTGCAACGTTTATTTTTGATTATATATTCTACAATATTCTTTTTTTTGTTTATACCAATTATACTCGTAATTACCTGTATGTAGATTTGTTTTTGTTTTTAGGAGTGGTTTATCTTTAATTTGTTTAATTGACATATTTTTTATTTGTTTATTGAAGTTCATTGTTGGTTGTACAAAATTGTAGTAAATTTAATTTTTTTACACTAATTTGTTTTAATTTTAATTAATATATACTTTGTTTTGGGCTTTACTTGGTGATTATAATGAATTATCTTATACTATTAAACGAGCAAAGTTTGTATATATATATCTATATATATATATAATGGGTTTCTCGAAAACGGCTCTAACGATTTCGATGAAATTTACAGGTTGGGGGTTTTTTGAGTCAAGAAATCGATTCATCATAGTTTTAACTTCTGAAAATTACAGCTTCATACATTTTCAGCAATTTTCAGGCAGTGAATTATATTTGTTGCTCGGCAACATCAGATGACACTACACGAACACGAGATTGTTTTAGAGAAGTTTGGGTGACAGTACGTTTGACGTACCTTTTTATCTTCAACTGTACGTACCGAAACATACTCCACTGTATATAAGACGTTAAAATTCACCTTCTGAAGTGAGAAAATTTACGGAAAACTAAACAGCGGATAAAAGGCGCACGAAAGTGCTTTGAAATGAGGTTATTTTGTCAAGCATTAATTTCGGAGGCTTCCACGGTCGGAGTCCATATATATGATCGTTTTACGGGTTGGGACCGTGTTATTTGAGTTTTTGGGTTCAACGTTTCGCACACTTTCGTAAGTGGCATCTTCATGAGCAGAGTTGACAAATAAGGAATAACGCAAAAGAGCACGGTAACTCAGTATGTTAACCATACCAGAGGGAAACTCTTCTGGCAGTAAGAATCAGTAAGAATGTGGTGAAGAAAAAAGAGAACGACACACAAAGAGAACTTGGGTAATAAATGACATTGTAATAAATATCAAACAATAATTCCAGTTTTCTATTCTTAAATCTCTACATGGCACTCAACAGTGTTTAAAACAAAGACTGCTTACGGAATTTCCTTTTTAATGTGTATTTTTAATTAGTGCGGGTACTTCAAAACGCATACTATAGGTATACCTATTTATCTGTCCTAATCTGATCTAATACTACCAAACGAGCCGAGTGAAGCTCGGTCAACCAGATATTAATATTTTATTTAAGCTAAACAATATAAAAAAATTAAATTATTTCAGCGTTTTATTTATTGCATATTTTTTTATAAAAATCAAAATATAAAAAACGTCTTAAAATGGACAATAAATGCCGTCTCTAGGACGTCAGTAAATCATGTCAATAATTCGTTACAAAATGACGACTCTAAGACTTCAGTACATCACGTCAATAGTTCGTGAGAAAATGACGTCATCTAGACGAGACATTTGACCGTCATTGGTACGTCAATATCACGTGAAATCTTTGGTCACTATGACGTAAATGATGACCATTTATTCAAGTGAAAAAGACGACATCATGTTGCCTGGGATGGTCCAACGTGAACGACATGTATTAGCAAAAAGACCTATTCTATTGCAGTTGTAACATTGAGGCCTACCGTTATTTGTGCGAGTAACTGGTAAATATTGGTTTTGAATTTTGGATAGATTTGGAACCTATTTTAATTTTGAAAATTTGACGAGTATTGCGTATTTGTAAAATTGCTGGGGGAGCGGGGGTGTAAAACGCGAAAATCCATTTGTATTTGAAGACGGCATTGAAAAAGAACTTGGATGCCGAGGGGAAAATTTTGACTAGGGGGTATAAATAGATGTCGAGGTCGGAAATTTGGATTGGGGGTGTAAATGGGGGATAACGTGTAGTAACGTTACCTTTTGACGAAATTGGTGTTTTCGGTGGCAATTCATTTATGGAAGTCGATGTATTTTTATCAATTTTTCTAATTTGTCAGTAATAGTTGTAAGATCGTATATAGTGGTGCAATCATGTTTTGAAAGCTGATAGTTTGTATAGAATTTTGGCTGTAAACCCTTCTTAAAATACTTAACAAATTGACTGTTATCCATGAGGAGATCGACGTCATATGCTTGGAGGCAAATTGTTTTCTATTTGTAAGTTCAAATTCGGCATCTCTATTCGATTTTAATGGAAACTCTACTCTAAATTCAAGTATAATATCTTTCCAGGTACTAGAGGTATTGTTTTCAACATAGTTTTCGTACCAACGGTTCGCTACATCGTTCAAAAATGTTTTTAAATTTTCATCCCACCCGTTGGTGATGGCTCAACGGTCATAAGTTCATAACTCTTGAGAAAAGCTTCTGCATCATGAAAACAGGGTTCGAAAATGGGTGGGCTTACGAACCGCACCGTGACGGGCGACTTTGGGTACTCAAAAGCCTCTTTGATTGTACTTCGGCGTGACATGGTATGTCTAATTGGGCTAATGAACGACGACGGTACATACGTGTTCATGTTTTCCCACGCCACGGAAAAAAAAAGGAAATTCGTTTCAACGAAACGAAAAATGTGGGTTTATGAACCTCGGACCGATCGGTTAAGTCTGTTTTTTTCTTAATTTATATTTTAATATTAGACATTAAAAAAAATATATTGAAAGTTTCAAGAAGAGTAGAAAAATGCAATACTCGTCGACGCGGACAACATGAATATGGGAAAAAATCATGTCTAGAAAGAGTTCTTCACGATGTACTTAACAAATTAGAAACGGAAATTTATTACGATGATATTACTGTATAAACCTGGCGATTGTTTTTTAAAGATACAACTAGTTTACAATTACTTGGGTTACAGATAGGCAGTAGTCGGGACAAAATACGTGTTATATTTTATTCAAAATTTTACTAAATTAAATATGTTATCAAAACATTCCAGTGCATTTTGATCTTGCTTTTATCGCATTTTTTCAAGTGGTTGCTGTAAAATTTTGAAATGTATAATAACTTTTTCAATATGACGTGTTCTTTTACCATTAGCCATAGCAACGTATCAGCAGATTAGCATCCATATATTAGATGCTATTTATAAAATTAAAAGAACTGTGTTTTTTTTTAGTCGTAAAAGAAAATAAAAACCAATTTAATTAAAAATTCTAAAAAATTAAGTTTACTCTAATATTTAATAACAAACAAGAATCTATTTTAGTATATGTACACATTAATTCATTATTTACATATTTACAATATAGGTACAGATTGATTACACTCCTTAGATACATAGGTTTATCGAACTCCTTGCTTGGAGTAATCACCGTTACATTACTAGTAATAGACTTATAAACTACAATAATTATACATATGTATTTCCACTACAAAATAAAAATATCGCTCACATGTCATGATACTTTTTTTAACAAACTGACAAAACTATGATGGAGTAAGAAAATAATACGACGAGGTTGCAATCCATGTTCGGTATTTTTGCTCCAATTTAGATTATTACACTTTCTTTCAGCAACTAATCCCCAAAAGAAAACCTGCTTCAATTACGTGCTTTTATTTTGTTAACTGTTTTTTCACTGTGTATCAATTTTCACGAAGAAACAAAATTTCATAGTTGCTATACTTACCGCTTCTTCAGTATTTGGTCACAGTAAATTTTCCACGTCCTCTCTGACACAAACTTTGACAGTTTGTCAAAACAGTATATTTTGGAGAAATCGTTGTGAAATGCATGCAAAATTCTGTGAACAAATTTAAACCAGAAGTCATTTAGATACTCCAAGAGAACTGTGTATAAGAAGTTAAAAGGTATCATGGCACTTCACATTTCAAAATTTTTAAATATTTTGTACTCGAAGCGCCGAACAGATGCAAATACAAAAACGCGTTTTGAATGCGTGAACAACGAATCTAGCATTGCCATTTGTTGGACGAAACTCATCTTGACATCTTAATAGTATCACGTGGGTTTTAGCACGGGTTGTTCATGCTTCGATCTTTAACAAGAATGTTGCATCCGTTGAGCGATTCTGACAAAAATTTTTGTTACATATATGTACAAAGTACGAGACACACGCAGACGAAATAAATTACACATTGAAACAACCTTGCAAACTATAAAATTATTATTAAACTATTAGAACTAAAATTAATTGTGCGATGGAAAACTATATCAATCAAAGTGCCTTCTGATTGAAATGTGTTATTAATATGTTAAATGGTGTTACCTGTGAACGGTTTGGCCATACTCTGACTAAGATGGTTTTCTATCGCCCATACTGTTTTCTGTGCGGCGATTTCGAAATGTATGACAATATATAGTTACTACGATGACAAGATGAAGTTCTTGCTGATGATGCAGGAATGTCGCCTAAATTCTCTGGTTTGGAATTCGTTTAGCGTATGTTTTATTGCAATTTTAAATATTTTGTGATATTGTGAAATATTAAAGTTTTAAGTTGCCTTAAAACGCTCTTATGTTGATATTTTCCAGATCAGTTAGCGGTAATAAACCCATTTCTTAAAACTTGAGGTTAGAAACGTGAAGAAAAGCCTGCAATGCAAAATGTTATACATAAAAATAAGTACTTTGTTCGGAAAATTTACCTCTTTTAAATTAGTTGATATTAAATATTCTTTAAAAAGTTTTCCACAATCCCTTTTGAAGTGTGGAAGTTTTTTTAAAAACATTCTTCCAAAAGTTCTTGACGAATGACAAAAGTTTTGGTTCCAATTTTTTTTAAACTATGGAAACATCTGTACTGAAATATTAAACCTAATTTACAAAGTTAATTTCAAAATATTTTCACTTACCTTAGTTTACGTGTTTAGTTTGTAATTTTCAATTTGGATAGTAAGCCGTACGCCAGTTTTTGCTGCAGCTCTTTTTCTATTGTTGTGAAGGCCTCATGTAAAAATTTGTACTGAAATTTCATTATTAGATAACGCCAAATATATGATATATGATGACTCACCTAAAGTTAAAGTTGAAGCTTAGCTGAGCTTGACCGAAAATATAGTTGAAAAATTTTGGTAAAAAAAGTGACTGATCAAGTTTGCATTAATGTGGTCGTCAACTAATTAAAATTTGGAACACTATCAAAAAGGTTTATCGAAAGTTCAAAATTTGTGTCATTAGAAGAAAATAAATTTGGTGAAAGTTAAAAATCGGAAAATCATACTTCAGAACAAGTTATGAAGAAAATATTTATAACAGAAGTCGCCATTTCAAATTATTTAGCTTGTGTCTATTTTTTCCATAGAGGTGAAAATTGTGTGAATCTCAAAAATAAGTTTAAATATAAGAATAGATAAATAAATTAATTAATAAACACAGTGCAAATTTTGACAACATCTGAAGACAAATTAAATATAAAGGTATGTATACAAATGTGTCCATCATAAAATAGTGGTTTTCTTTTGATTTACGTCTTTCGTCAATTGTGTTCCACTAATTGTCACACCTATTTCCTACTTTTATTAAATGGTGCGCTATGTCTCTCAAAGTATTTTGCTTTGTGTCAAAACAGTTTCTTTTTTATGGCAAAACAATTTCGTTGGATTGATGAAAACTGTTTTTTACTCTTAAGGAAATTAAAATTCGGAGGAAAATCCTCAACAAGGAATAAGCTTATTTTCCATAGACAGAGTTATCAAATACTTTCACTAGTCCTTTTTTTACTGATGAATTTGGAACATGATACATTCTAGAAGATCGTACGGAAAATGACCAAGTAAATGTAGCGCAAACAAAGTTAAAGCTCAGCTGAGAGGCCGTAATTACTCGATTGCGAGTCACTTGCAAGAAGGTAATATTAGGGGTTCACGGACATATTTTAATGAACAATGTAAGATTTCAAAGAACTGAAAACATTCAACAATTGATACGAACCCATGGAAATTTTCCTGTATTTCTACCTCCATATAGGCCTTTCCTTAACACAGTTGCACAAGACTTGGTCGAAGTGTGGAAATGATGTGCGCAGCCCCCTTTGAAATCTACAGATCAAACCCAGTTGGGGAACTATTTAATCAATGGAAAGTGATTATTAAAAGAAATCAGCCTAGAAACGAAGACGGGTTATATATATCCAATATCCAAATCCACAATGCTTCTGAGGCAATAACCCAAGAAGATTGCCAAAATTATGTGCGACATATGGAGACTATTGTGGGGATTGCCCGAACAGAAATGAAATTTTGAATTAAAATAATTTGTTATACAGGTATTTCATGATTATAGATAGAGACATACTTATTTATTAAAATATATTCTATATAAATAATGTAGAAACAAATTTTAATTTTAATCAAACTAGGTAAAAATTGGTCCAAGGTATTAGACAGAACATTTCTCGCTTCTGAAGTACACTCCAATAAATTTAGTTTTTTAATGAATTCTGTTTTTTTATCATAAATCCTGTAACTAAAGTTATAATATCTCTCAAGCGTTAAGGGAACATTGTTTTTTTATAATAAAGTTTTGCAATATTGTCATTCAGATTGTGCAAGGACGCTCATATCAATTTGAATAGGTATCAGTGGCAGCTGGTGACCTTTTGGAATGGGGGGACAGAATTTGATTGTGAGTTAAATATGAAGATAAAAAACAGGTTGTTATTGCCAATTAATAGACGAAATTGTGTGACGGAAATAAATAAAACCATACATTCAATAAAAGTAAAAATGGATTTGTTCACATACCTTTTTGCTTTCGGTCAAAATTTTACGTTGATGGCATCTAAAAGTTTATTTTGAACAGTTTTAGACGTTCCTTTAAAAGCTGTTGCTTCTTTCAAATGATCTGATAAAGGAGAGTCCAGTTCAGTCGTAAAATCAGTCAGGCCTCGAAATATACCTGGATTTTGTGGTTGTCTACTTTCGTCATGTCCAGGTAAAGCAAGTTCAAACACTCGACAAAATTTTATGCACATTATCAATCGGCGTAATATATGGCGATTGTTGTCTACCCTTGCGTTATGTGTCCGAATGTTATTAATATAGGCGGTCTTTAGTCGTTTCCGAATGTCTGTATTACCGACAAGGTTATCCAAGAATATTTATCATATCTGTTTTACGTCTATCTTGCGCAGCAGGAAAATTAAAATCCGCGATTGTACTCCTGTGGACCACTGTCAGAAAGGGACTGCGGTCCCATAGGACGTGTGGTTTCCATGGCAACGGTGTAAACAGTGGCGTAACAATCAAACTATGGGCCTGTGTTCTACAACACTGTGAGGCCCCTAATGAACAGCGAAATAATAATTATTTAAAAATACGAGTATAATGAGTAAAGTTTGAGTATATTGCAATTAGGGCTTACGTTTTATTAAAATCATTCTACCTGAAACACTGAATTAAAAAAAAAACAAAATACAATAACTACCTAACTACATATAATTAAAATATATAAAGAGAGTTTCAAAATAATTTTCATCTAATTAGCTTTGAAATCGCTTTAACTCCTGTCTTTCCCTTCATGAAAATCTGCAGCCATGGGCGACTAGATGAAAATCATTTTGAAACACGTTGTATTAGAAATGAAAATGCCCATTTTGTTATCTCAAAATTGTTTTTTTCTTTCTTTCCAATGGGCACAAGTTGATACGAGATTTGAGACATCTAATCTACTGGCAATTTGATTTTCTATTGAGATAACAGCCAGTGAAGATAATCTGCATTGGCCGATTGTGTTTCTTAAAAAAATTTAGTCATTTTTAATTTCGAAAAAGATCTTTCCGCTGAAACCACCGAAAGTGGTATTGTAAGAAAAATGAACTTACTAGGTACTCATTCTGTAATAATTTCGCGATCCAGTGTTTTTTCTACTGAAAAAATTAGTTGTAACATACATCATATATATTTGATTATTCCAAAAAGCACTACAAACACAAAATTAAAATGGTTTTGAAAATACGAAAGTTTTCATAAAACGCAACTGAAACTGAATGTTATTTACGTCTTACACCATAAAGTTTCACTGAAGATCTGAGGACAAAATGTAAGTATTTTGTTGTCCTGAATCATAAATTAGTCATACTTATGTCGGCTGAAGATTGGTAATTTACTAAATGGGGTGTTAGATTTGCCACAATGGGATTGCGACAGTGCGACAGTGCATTTCTGGCCGCTGGTGCCGGTCGCTAAAACCCGAGTTTATTAAGTCTATGATATTGAGATTCCGCCAGAGGTTCAGCCCTTTGCAGCAAAAAATCGTAAATAGGAATGAACGATGGATCCTAGGATCACCGCACATTTTCGAATTTTTTATTTTGGGATGTAATTTGCGCAATAATATAAAAAATCCAATAAAACGAAAATGTTCGTGTGACCGGACTAGGCCCCTTGAAGAAGCGGGCCCGGGTTCCGCCGAACACATGGAACACCGGTAGTTACACCACTGGGTGTAAATAAAACGTTTAAATTATCCATGTGTGCCCGGCTTTTATCAGCAATAATAACATATCATATATCTTTAGATGTAAGTGGATCTAAGTTTTGATCCATTTTATACAAGTGGAGCGAGATACAAAAATTAGGATAATTTCCGGATATTTTTTTAAATATTGAAAATTGCTATCTTGTAATGTCCAGTGTATTTGTAGACGTTGTAATTTTGGAGTGGGCACGTGCACCAGCTGACACTGATAGAAATAGCAAATTCCAAATAACAACAGTATTGCATTCTCAAATTTACGGAATTATAGAATGAATCGTCCCTGATTTGAATAACAAAATAATAATAAAAAAAATGTGGTCGGCGTGGATGGTAATAGAATAAAGTTTGGCCCGGCGCGAAAAAGTTTTGGATCGCGGTTGAACTAAGCATTCAACAGAATTTTGGTCACTTTTCGAGTTCAACCTTCATTATTCATTTTAATAATGGAAAGGTTTCTGCTCCACATTTTACTAGGAATTCGGCAATTTTTTTGTGACCTCTCGAGGAAGCTGCGTAAAGCGGTGTCCATCCACCTTTATTAGCGCGATTGATTTCGGCTCCGCATTTCACCAGGCATTCGACAACTTTTGCGTGACCTTGAGAGGAAGCTGCGTATAGCGGTGTCGCACCACCGTTACCAGCGCGATTGATTTCGGCTCCACATTTCACCAGGAATTCGACAATTTTTTCGTGACCTTGAGAGGAAGTTGCGTAAAGCGGTGTCTGACCATAATAATTATCAGCGTGATTGATTTCGGCTCCGCATTTCACCAGGCATTCGACAACTTTTTCGTGACCTTGAAAGGAAGCTGCGTAGAGCGGTGTTTCACCATATAGACCAGCGCGATTGATTTCGGCTCCGCATGTCACCAGGCATTCAACAACTTTTTCGTGACCTTGAAAGGAAGCTGCGTAGAGCGGTGTCTCGCTATTTATATTAGCGCTATTGATTTCGGCTCCACATTTCACCAGAAATTCGACAATTTTTTCGTGACCTTGAGAGGAAGTTGCGTAAAGCGGTGTGCGTCCATCTTTATTAGCGCGATTGATTTTAGCTCCGCATTTCATCAGGCATTTGACAACTTTTTCGTGACCTTGAGAGGAACCTGCGTAGA